ATGACAACTGGTAGATAAAATAAAATACCTCAAATCGAAAGATTTATTGAGGAGTATGTTCACTGGATATTTGAGATTTTTTTAGTGATATATTATTAGTGGTATGTGCAATATATTATCTTTATAATACATTACTTCAAGGCAAGTTGCAACAAATGCATGATCGTCAACCTCTGTATGTACTCTAAAACAACAATAACAGTGCAGCAAATGAACAGAATAGAGTATTGTCAGATTTCTAGCTACAACTCTTCCCCCTGCCCCTCCAATCCCCTCCTGCCTACAAGGTCTAAGACAGCACTATGCTATAACAGCATGCAGCTATGCAGCACTATACTGGAATGACATTTTTTGTAAATGAACTTAGGTTCAGGCTGAATGTTTGTGCATAAGTAAATGTTGAACTTATTATTTCTAATATAATTTAATTCCTAGAAAAGTATTGAGTACTGAACTGAAAAGATAAGTTGGCTGTGAATGTTGCCAAACTGTTGAAAATTTGTATAATTAATTTATGGGCTTAATATTTCATTTTTCAGATTACTTTCCGCCAAATATCAGCGAGTGATGGGGGTGATGATGGACTTTCTAATTTCACTAGAGTCAAGTGTTTCCCATTATATTCTTTGCTCCTTGCAGCAAAGATGACAGAAGTGGATTATTTGAGTTTGGATGCAGATGGTGCTGAAGTGGAGGTTGGTCATTATTTGTAGTTTTATTTTACCATTAAAGCAAAATACATCATGAGCCAAAAGTGGCTTCCCACTGAAAACATTATTGAAAATGCAAAGGAAAGAATAAAAAAAAACATCAGAACAAATTGAACAAAGTCGAATATACATTAACTGTTAAAATAAAAATGCATTCAAGTAAAAACAGGCATATTCAAGAAAAATTGTCATTGAAAATCTGGAGGAAGATCACAACCGTAGTTATGTTAATATATACAGTGAATAGCGACATGTGGCCCACATATATGGTAGTGATTAATTAATCATGAATACTTCAATAAGATTATAAAAGTAATTAGGTAATGGGAATTGAGTAATATGGTAACTTTTCCAAGATTGGGGGGGGGGGCAGGACAATGTCTGCCAGCTAGTATTGTTATATTTACATTATAGATAAACTTGCATTAAATCTAATGGTTGCAACATGTTCCTGATGGAATTAACAAAATGATTTGCTGCTGGTTAGATTACTTATTGATGAAGGAAATATGGTAAATTCATGTATGAAGACATGAAACTCATTTTTCTTGAAACCATTCTGGAGGTCTAGCCATTTTCCCATTCCACTCCTCAAATATTACTATGTAGTTGTCTTTCAATTTTTTCTAGGATTCACTGCTCAGCAAGATCTTGACAGTAACATTTGATTTTTTTGAAAGTTTAATTGGTAAATTTAGATGTTTCATTGAGAAATTTATTATTACTAGTCTTGTGGACAACACAAGCTGCTGCTCTTCAGGTGATTCATTAAAAATACCAACAAAACAGTTCAGGCTTAGGCCTAACTTCCTTATTCTCATATTACTGCTAGTCTTTGGGAGCATCAAATATTTGTTGCTTGGCAAATAGCAAGCAGAGAATGAATGTTTGGAGCCACCTTAAGGAGGCCAGCTGCCTCAAGAATTACCATCCAGACAGTGGCTGGTGTTGATTCAGTTATACATCTGAGGTCGAATGTCTCTTAGTTAGAACCATTTGATCTAAGAAATTTCAGTTGCAAACTCGCAACCCAATGCCAAATAAAACATTTAGATGAATGTTGAATTTCTTATTTTTTATGATATCTAGGGAGTAAAGAACAAATAAATGAGACATAAGACTGTTCAATAAGTGCTAAGGATGTCCTACAATTTTATCCCAATACCAGGATTATAGATATAGAGTAATTCAATATTAATATTATTTTTCTATTGTTTTATTGGCTGTGATATTAAAAATGCTAAAATAACTAATACTCTTTTTATGTTATGTTATAGGTTTTAAAAACTCTTCCATTAGAGCATGTTGATATAAATATCATTAGTGTGGAGAAAAAAGTCAACAAATCTGACTTGATGAACTTTATGACAGTCCATCACTATGAGCTTATTTATGAATTATCAGATGTGTATATTTTCAAGATGAATAGACTAGAATTGCTGAGCTCACCAAGGGCCAGTGTGTAGAACGTAAAGACTTGAGAGCAGCATTCTTGTTGTTTTTGTGGAATGCTGAAATGCAGAAAGCTTATTTTCACTTCCGTGGAAGTTCTCCTTGTAAGGACAAAGTCATGTTAATAATAGTGATTCATAAGTATTTTGAACCCTGGTAATACCAGCCTAAAGTTAAGTTGAAGAACAGGCCCCCTGCAACAGGGGCAATGTCCATAGCCTTGGTCACATTGTCCAGACTGCGTACATTAGTTTCTTCGATTCAGAACATGCAACATCATTTCAGCAATTTCTTCAAATGTCCAGAGTTTTTGAACCATGTAATCATTGTTAACTCTTCCTCTACATCAGGAAAATACCTGACTTAATAATTACTGAAGAAAATGAAAAATTGAGTGGAGGTAGACAGTGAATATTTTAAAATATTTATTTTACTTTTAAAATTCTTGCTGATGATCATTGTACATAGTATCAAATCAATAGAGTATTTCTAAAGTAATTTTACATATTTAACCTTCCTCTTGGACTTTATAAAGAAGATAAAACATCTTCATAAATGACAAAAAGTATTTTCAAGTGCTGACCTGTTGAATTATGCAAGTATTAAAAGTAATTCTAACCAGTTGAACTGAATAATAGACTGACTCAGATCTTGTTTTATTTTATATTTGCCTACCTTGCTTACTACAATTATATTAATGTGCCTCACGGAGAATTTATAAAATAACTTTATAGCTTTCAAAGTTGAACTTCTGTGAATTCTTTGTCGTGGAGATTTAACACAAACATTAAAGAGTCAAGACAGTAGACCAGAATAGAATGAGAATAGTTTGCTAAAGCTTTTACAGTTCTGATGAGATAGCCAAAGTGCAGAAAACTGCCCAGAATCACCTTGTTTGCTGTACATCCAATTAATAAGTTAGCATGTTGTGCTATCATAGCAAGCCGTCCTTATCAAAGTTACAATCAAAGGCTACTTCAAAACGTGCAAGCATTGTGAGATATCGATAACCCTCGATCTTTCCACTATAACAGATATTCTTTGCATACACCTTTTCTGTATTTCTGTGAATGTTTACAGTAAGCTTCTCTGCTTTTAACTGTATATATTTAAATTGTAAGAGTACAAGAGAAAATTATTTTACCAATGCCTAACTTCACTTTTATATTAATCCCCTCATTTAGGCAAGAATATTTAACAATTTTAATTTTTTCTCCCCCTTACCCTTTTTTGCCTTCAGATTCAAGTTATCAAGATTTTAGTACATTCATATTTTTCTATATTTTCTTTAAAAAAGAAAAAAAACCTCTTTACATAACATTCACAGAATGTTTCATAAGTATTAAAGTTAGGTAATTATAATTGTAGCTTCCAGTGTTTCTTTTTATTTCATGTTATTGGAATACCCTGATTTATTTCTCTTGCTTGCCTGTGTTTGAAATGGAAAAAACAAGAAGCAGAAGAGACTTCTCTTCACTGTCCCTTGACATTTGTCACAAGAAAATATTTGTTTTTGTTGATGACAAATGCAATGAGTTGTTAATAAGCATTCTCTGTGCTTACTCTGACCATAATTTTAATCAACTCTATTGAATTGTGACTGGTGTAAAGTATTGTATTAGGAAAATTCTGTTAGAGAATTGAACCAGAGTATTAAAATAAACATTGAACTGGACTCTTTAATGAAACTTCCAAAGACTTTTTGCTATTGTACCACCAAAAAGTTTCAAGTGGCCTTATCGTTTATAGAAGAAAAGACTGCAGACTAATTACATTAATTTATAGTAGTAGTTTGAAGATGTGTTGCATTTCTACATTTTTATACTGAAAGATATTTTATAGTTTCCATATTTGCAATGAATCTATTGCAAGTATTCTGTGATATTAATTTTTTTCTTTTCATAGTTGTAACTACACTTGAGTCAATTACTATTGGTTTTTTGTGTTCAAAGTGTGGCTATTAAGTTGTTTAAAAGAACACTAATGCCTATGTTCAATTTAAATATTCACATTCTTAACCTTTAAAGATGGAATGCCATCTTCAGATGTCATATTCATTCCATCTGTATTCGCGGGAAGCCATACCTAGACATCTGAGATTTCCTTTGTGCATTGGAATGCCATGTCGAGACAGGAAGGTCTCTTCAGCAGTGCACTAAGCAAGCTCTCTGCTTCTGTGCTCAAACTAGATCCTATGTTAAAAAGTTAGTGTACTCACAAAAGACATTATAATCATTATAAAAAACAAAATAAATATTAAAGAAATAATAATAATAAAAATAATAAAACATATTTATCTGAAATTCATGGAACAAAAACATTTCTGCTGAAAAAATCAACAGTTATAATAAAAGATTAGTACAAAATATTTGAGATCATATTGTTCAATATAAAAAAAAGCCAATTTCTTTAAGATATCTCTTCTAATTTCTTAGTTGTTAGGTTACTCGTGGAGCAAATGCATGTTGTAATGTAGCATAATAAATACAGTAAAAGAGTCTTCACTATAATTTCTATGAAACTGTGGGTCACACAGTTGTGGCACTAGAAAGAATTACTTATAATTCAAATTCTTCTGTTGAATTTTGAACATGCACTCTTTGGTTGTGGATGCCTAAGGTAACTCTCAATTCAATATATGCAAGCATCATCACATTGCAATCTCTAATGCATCTAGCATCACAAGAGGAACCAGCCAGAAAACCAATTCCCTGTCATATCACCTCGAGTTGTGTATTGTCTTGATAATTATTAAAATAAAATCATGATGCTTTATGCATGATAATTATCAAAATTAAATTGACATAGCAAAAGTACAGAATTAAATGCAGTAGTCAGTATTCATATTATATTTATCATGGTAGTTTCATGACTAATTTAGTCAAAAATAACATCCAATGATCCCATACACATAATAAGTTCCTCACAATCTCTCTTAGCAACTTTGTTTCCTGTCATTGGAAAATAAAAAGAAGTTTCATATTTTAAAAATAAATTATCATAATAATATGAAAAGATGTAAATAATACTTAACAATCACTGGCAAAATACTGCAAATTATTAAAATGCTATTATTTCTTTGAACCTTTTATATTTTCTTTGTAAGAAATTAAAGTATGGTATATAATCACAAAATTTCAAAATTTTACATTTTTCAATTAAAAGCTTTTTTAAGACATGAACTTATTATTAATATGCCATTGGATAGATTTAATCTATAAGAAATGAGAATTATAATTTGGAATATATAGTTTGGAAGCTTGTATTTTACAACATGCTTATGAAAAGACGAACGATAATTTCTGAGTGTCAGAGACTTAATTTTTATCTTCAATGATGTGATGATGTTTTATTAGAATTCTCAAACTGCTTATAAGAAGCTTCAATGTAGAACTAGTGCTCTAATAGATTTACTATAGCACTAAATGAAACACATTTGCAAGAACCATGAAATTCTAATCATGTTTCCACATCAGAATTGTTTCATTTGTAATGATTATCCCATTTATTAGTGTGAAGAATTTCTGAGAACTTTCAGTTTCTTCAATTTATTTGTGTGAAATCATGATGCTCTGAACCGTAAAATTTTTTCGAATGTTTGTTCTGAGCTTGGATTCAGTTGCTTAACTAATCATTTGCTGCAAGAGGAAAATTACACAGAAAACCTAGTCATCTTCAGTACTAGTCTGAGCAAGCAAAATGAAACAGATGTTGAAAGCTGTAAAATATAAATTTTATTAATGGACAAGCCCCATTCAATTATTCATTTTTATTGATCAAAATTACGTTGAACAGTAAAGCAAGAATCTTTAAGCTAAAAATATGCATAAGTTGAGATTGTGAGAATAATTATCTTGACAGTTTTCTTTGTGAATTATTATAATAAATCTATTTACAATATTTGAGATATAATTATGTATAGAAACTATTAAAATTGGAGAATACCAATGTGCTTCAAATGTACTAATTTTGGATTTTATAACCTGTGTTGCTTAATATTTAGATGTGATGCATCATCAATTTTTTAAAGAAATAAAGTGCAGTTTGGTACTAAAATTATCTGCTGTTACATGTAGTATTCAAAATAAAACTTTTCTTCTGGCTAAATTATTTCTTTATATGGAAAAATACAATAACATTAATTTTGAATAAAGTCTTTGGGAAAGCCTCCCAAAGCCTCCGTCCATGTATGCATTCCTTTGAGTTTGCAAATAATACTCAGTGAATATATATTTAATGTAATTTGATGTTTATAATTCTGATTGTTAAGTTCTCCTTGTATATATATGTACCTGCCTTGTTTATTTGCTATTTTGTGAATAAAAATAATCTGATTGAAATTTAGCGAGAGTTGTGTGTTATTTTTTCAGTCCAACTATTTGGTAAAGGTATCGTTTAAATAGTTGTATGTTTATAACAGTATTAAAAGAATCAGCAAAAAGGATAGGTTGAAGAGAAATGTTTCGGAAAAACAAAAGGGTTGGCAGTCAACCAAAGGTGATAAATGAGCATTAAATTACATCTTAATATTTTGTGGCGAGTTCCTTTTGCGAGTTCATTTGCAGTCAATGTGTAAATGTTTCATATCTAAAAATAGTGTGTATTATAAATATAAGTTAATACTTGAAATTAAACTATGAAGAGGAACGATGGCTTTGCCTAAAAATTAATGTGACTGACTATCAATTGGCGTGAGATCGAAAATGGGTTCTTTCATCAAAACACGGATCAGTGGGCCATTGATAATCTGCTCTTTTACTTTTGTGTCACTCAGTAGCTACATGAAAGCTCGTTCGTAAGTATTGGAATATCTCACCTTCTTTGTCCAGTCCTTTTACAATAATCCTAATTTGATGTGTAATGAAGATATGAAGGTCACTCCAAAAGTTTTGAGAATGAGCAACAATGAATTATTTCCATTGTTAGGTGGAACGTTTAGTAAGAATCTCGCGCAAGTTTGAACACGCTCGGGTAATTTATTAACTTAGAAGGGCTATTTGTGTTATATTAGTTGTTCCTCTGCCAGTAACGATGGACCTAAAGAGAGAGCATTTCGGAGCTATGATTTTGTATGACTTTAAGGTTGGCTTAGTAAGAAATCATGCCTCGAGAAATTACAGCGTGCGTTTGGCCATGGTTGCCCTTCACAAGCCACTGTCTATCGATGGTTTGCCGAATTCAAGAGGCAAACTCTCAAACAAAGGGACTCTCTGGAAGATGATGACCGTTCTGGCAGGCCCAACGCAGCAACAACGGATGAAAATGTGCTGAAAGTGGAACTTTGATAAGGGAAGACGCCTCGTACATATGCATCCAGATTCGAAGCTTTAGATATGATCGCAGCAGTGAACAGACAGATCCTGAAAGAAAAGCTTCACGTTAGGAAGCTGTGCGTCGCTGGATCCGTCACACGATCTGTAAAATGAACAAAAAAGGTGCGCGAGTGGATGTTGTTGGTCGTGAGACCTGCTGGATAAGTTCATGGGAGGAAGACAAAACAAAACATTTTAACATCGTACGGGTGATGAAAGCTGGATATCATTTGATCGAAATGAAACGGCAGTAATCATTGTGGGTCCCCCCAGTCTCTCTCAACGAAAGTTGAGAAAACCAAAGCGTTGGCCAAACGATGACATTTGTTCTTCTTTCTGCCAAGTGCCATATTGTGAACAGTGCCACTCGAGGAACAAAAGGCAGTTACTGCACGATGGTACACTACAATTTGCTTGCCCAGATATTTGAAGACTGAGAAAGAACCGTCCAAAATCAGGTTTTTGCGTGGAATCCCTGCCCACTATGACAACGCCTCATGCCCACACAGCCTCGAGACAACCAACTGAATTTCTTGAAAGATCGACGGGTTTAAAACACTGTTCGTCATGTCCACCTACAGTCAACGCAGGCCACCGTGAGTCGATTTTTTTCTTTTCCCTTACGTCCAAAGTAAAAAATTCGAGTCATTCGGTTCGAGTCAGCTCAGGCGTCACTGTGACCGCATGGATGAAGATCTAGATCGCAGTAATTCTCTAAAGAAGTGTGGGCCGTATCGTCATTTGAATAATTTGGTCTTAAAATCGGATGAAACGTTGCATAGTGTGTGGACAGTCACTTCGAGAAATGTGAAGGTAAGGAACTTGTTTATCTCGATTTTAATAAGTATTCTCAAAAACTTTGGAGTGGACCTTCGTAGAAAGACGTGTTCCTGTCAACAACAAGGTTAGTGACCGAGAGACACTTTTTTCCTCTTTCTTTCTTTTTCCTCCTGACACAACATTCCCGCTGGAAACTGTTAGGTTTCGTAACGCTATACGTTGCCCCCACTATTGCAAGTACTCAAGAAAGAACAGAATTTTGTAAACCATGTCTGCATTCATAAGAGGACGCATAGTACTTTTTAGATCAGCTCAATTTTACCATGGAGGTTTATTGTTATCAATACTGGTAAGTATCAAAACAAAATTTTCGTAAGTTTCCTTTATGTCCGCTGCATGGGCAAATGGTAAATTTGTAAATTTCCATTTTCATTATGCATTAGCTCAGCTTTCACGCTTGATTTGGTAGCGTCTGTGAACAGCCGTCAATCGTGAATCCCAGTGTACCCATTGCATCTCCGATAATTTTCTGATGTCGCAGGAAATTAATTAACCAGACACAGAAAATAATAAAAGCAAATTTAATTTGATATTTTCTGAAGGTGAGGTTTGCACTTCGTTGTAGAAGATTCCATCCTTGATTGGTTGTAATAGTTCATCGTGCTTCTTCGAAAGGTCAAATCTCGAAGTAAATAATTGAATTCTGACTGTGTAACAAGATGTTGCGTCTTTCTCTCCGTCTGTAAGTTAGTCAGGGAGTGCCTCACTAGAAATCGCTTCTTCCTGATAATCATCTTTCTTCCTAGAGTGGGCACTGCGTAGGAGGCGTATAAAGTCATCGTGTTCTACTGGCCTAATAGTCGAACGAAGGCTTTTTTTTTTATTTTAGAGTATGTTTCGATTTCGCAGTGGCCACCTCTACGTTTGTTTCATAACAGTCTGGTGAGAGATCTGTAGGTTCTCGCCGAGCATGGGCACAGCGATTGTCATAAAAGGACGTGGACCCTGCGACTGTCGACACATAAACGGCGAAAATGGGTTTAATCTCAAACAGAAACGATTATATAAATTTTGTTTGGTATAAATTAAAGAGCGAAGAGTGTAGATTTCAACCGCTGCGCCATGGAGATTGTGAACTTTTCCCTCCAAACCCGCCACTTCAATATTAAATCAGAGAAAAGCAGGCGGTCTCCAAAGAATACATGCTTCAAAACTGCTTCACAACATGGCTATGGCCACCAATCAGAGGACAGCAAAGCCCTGCCCGGGCTGAAGCGAGTGCTCGCCCTATTGTCCAACTATCACTTTTCCGAAAAAAATGGCTATTTTTATACTTGAGACGCCGTTAGCACGCCTTGTTACAAATCATCGGCCGCCAGACACCCTTGCATATCGCAAAGCTGTTAAATGATTTATAGACGGTCGGTACCTTGTTTCGAAGCTCAAGTGATATATTCTCCGTGATCCAGCTGTTTTGGCGGATCAGAGCGAAATAAAACGGTAGCATTCATGTACGCACGAACAAGATGAAAAGAAAGGTAATTGATTAATCATAGAGCAGGTAACATGGATATTTTGTTGAAATACTTTATGTTGGAAATCTGATTCTAACAGTTGTGTGTTGACAGTGTTAATTTTTTGGTCCTTTCAGAATCTCTCTTGCAAGAACCAGGAAGGCGATCCTTGCCAATGTCGTTGATCAAAGAATTTTAGCTCTCCCACCCAAGGCATTTCGACGCCTTAACAGCATCTATCCAACTAAATTTCTCGACCAACCTCTGCGACACAAATGCGGCGCCCACGTTTCGTCATCCATCTCCTACTTAAATACCATTCGTAACCTTCTTACACTATCGGTGTGAGTACACTTCTCTGTGATTTCGTAGTATAATGCTCATAGAAACATGTAGCGTAAGAATCTAACAATTTTGAAGTGAATTATCTCGAAGAAAAGTCTCACACAACTTGCACATCACACGAAACAATATGCTGCGGTGTAGTCAGACTGCAGGCTAATCTTGGTGACACAATCTATTCCATTCCACTAGGTCTTGAACCCTCGAAAAGGAAATACAAACACTAAAGTGTAATTCTCAAGTTTATTATAAAGCAGTGTGCTGATTGTGTGCTATGAAACCGCGGTAGGCCAATCAAATACCGAGATGACGTATGAGGAAAAAAATGACAATTCCTCTCTCGCGCTTAATATTTAGAGCAGAAATTTTAGAAAAAGGAAAAAGTTACATGATGGCTTTAATTGAAGTTCATTTCCTTGTTCAGGGTATCGAAAACTATGATTATAATGTTTTCAAGTTGCTGAAAACTTCAATCTTACGCAGTGTCAGAGCTTACATATTTTTAAAATATGCTTGAACAGAACGAAATCCTGATTATGTCAATAAAAATTTTTGTGCTAACAGAGCAAACTATGCGTAATATGCTGTGTCAAGGGCCCATAATGCATTATGAGGAGACATAGTATTACAGAAATCAATTCGCTAGTCGTAAGAGCAAGAATTATCACATTTTCACAAAATAAGGGCCCCACAATAAGAGATTTTGTGTCGATTTTGTGCCCGTTTGCTGCTGCATTCCATCACTATCTCTTCTTTTCGTGAGTTTACGTAGTAGGCGAAAAATGTATTAAAACATCTTTTATTATACTTTTAATATCATCTTTTGTGGTCGTAAGTTCAGCATTGCGCCACTTTTTTAAAATTGTACCTATGTTCAGTATATATCAGATACTGTTTTAACAATATTAAGTACAAAAAAAATAGTTATTCAAAAGTATTTAAATAAGCAACATAACCTTAATAATATAAAACTAGTGTTCTTAAAAATAAACATAATTTAAAAAAAAACAATTATTGCGACATTCTAAACAAATAGTATTACCTCAATAATATAAAACTAGTGTTCTTAAAAAGAAAAATAATTTTCAAAAAAGCAAACAATTATTGCGACATTCTAAATAAATAGTATAAGATGAGCGTTTAGTGTATCATTGGCAGGGAGTATACCAAGGCGACGTCCATAGTTATTTTATTAGTGCAATATTTTAAATTGTGGCGGTAAACCCACGGTCACTACGAAAAACTCTAGAGCTCCACTTGATGTGGGATGAATCTCATATTTCTAAACTACAATGCATGCAGTTTACAAGACCCTGAAGTCCAAATGTTGGCTGCTTCCGTGGTCACCAGCAGAGCGTACTCACCAAGGTTGATAGCTGGGTATAGTTAGCTGAGTAT